GTCGTCAACCCAAATGTCGCTGATATCAATCCCAAGTAGTCCCCCCAACGTCTCTGCCCAATGTCAAGTCTAAATCCCAAGTGTTGTCAATCTCTCTCTCTCTCTCCCTCTCTTTCTCTCTCTCTCTCTCTCTCTCTCTCTCTCTCTCTCTCTCTCTCTCTCTCTCTCTCCTTCTCTCTCTCTCTCTCTCACACACACACACACACACACACACACACACACACATAGCCAGATAAGAAGAAGTCAGAGCGCTGGGAGGGGAAGAAGAAGGTGGTGGACTGGAGGAAGAAGAAGAAGAAGGAGATCCCTCTCTCTTTATATATACCAGGTACTGACCTGCTAATGGTGGTTCCTTGCTGCACGTGGACGTGCTGAAGACGAAGCTGGAGCAATGGCCACGCAGGTAAGTCTCAGGTAAGTCCTCTGGCCACCATCACCATCTCTCCCTCCCTGCGCTACTCTACTCTATCAGCGCCCAGCGCTGGAAGACTAGTCCTATCATCGACTACTACTGAACTGCTGTCGTCTGAAGTATGCCTCCTCGATCCTCTACTCAATCCCCGGACTGAGGCTGGACCCAGCTATATATAGCGCTGGGTCAGCCTCAGTGGCTGAGTCCTGGCACCCGAACTGAGGCTGGACCTCGAAAAGTTTGGTGCCAAAACTGAGGCTGGGCCTCCAGCGCCTACCTGAAACAGCATGGCCTCAAAGTCAGGGTCTGGCGCCGAAACACACGCCAGGGCCTGTACCCGAAACGAGGCCTACAGGGCCCCTAACTGCTACCGGTCCTACTCGGCCTACAACTCGGCCTACCGACCCTGCGGACCCTGTTAAGGGTTGAAACGACACAGACCCTACACTCTACAGACCCCTACCGTCTACCTGGTCGGGCCCTGCTGGGCCCATGTGGACCTGAGTATGCCACAGGGGGGAGGGAAGGGAGATAGAGATAGGCTCCCGAAAGATCAGCAGCTGTGCATGCGGGAGTGGAGGGGGAGAGGGAGAGAGAGAGAGAGAGAGAGAGAGAGAGAGAGAGAGAGAGAGA